GAGCTGCTTGAGGAAGCTGGCGGGGACGGGGTGCAGGCGATCCAGCACCGCCAGGGGCACCGCGCGCAGCTCGGCCAGGCCCACAAAGGGGAAGGAGAGCTCCAGCAGGCCCAGCAGCGCATCGGGCCCCATGCTTTCCACCCGCGCCAGCAGGTCGCGCATGGCGGACTGCAGCACATGACGGCAGGCCTCAGACCTGGGCGAATGGGGGGGGGGGCGCGCGCGGGGATGGGGTCCTCAGAGGACAGGGAGGGGAGGGGCTGGATGGCGAGGCACGTCAGGTCTGCCAAGAAGCGCTGGCGATGGGGATGGCAGGGATGCAAGTAGCCGGCTGCCGCAGCCGCAGCGCGGGCAAGAGTGGGGATACCCAGGCGAACGAGCCAGGGGGGTAACCTGCATGCACATGCCCTTGGGGAATCCCCAGTCTCCCCTCGAGACAACCAACCCCCCTACAACACACACACACGCACAGGCACGCACCGTGAGACCCCTAGCTGGTCAAGGAGGCCGAGCAGGGGGGCGCAGCGCGGGTCTGGCAGGCCCCCCCGCCTCTGTATCTCGGCGATGGCCTCCAGGGGGTCGTGCGTGCTCAGCGTGTTCTGCACAAACTCTTGGCCGGCCTGGCCCACCAGGGGCGGGGGGGGCTCGGAGCAGTCCGCTCCACTCTGGGCCCCCGAGGCCACGCTGGCCTCCACGCCCAGGGTGGCCATGCGGCGACGCGAGGCGCGCGATCAGGAGGAGGAAGGGGGCGTGGAAGCACCGTCCTGGGATCGCAGCTGCCGCACTACCTCCGCAAGGGCCTGTGATGTCGGATCGCGCCCAGGCTTGGCAGCATAGGTTGTGAGCCAGGCGTTTCGCGGGACAAGGTGGCCCAGTGATCCCTGACCTACCTCTGGATTTACACCGGTTTCTAGAAGAGCGATGCAGACAGATAGCTGTTCCCTGTCGAGGCCCGTGTCCAGCAGCTTGGCGAGCTCGTGTGCCACGTTCAGGGCCTCTGCAGCCAGACCACTGCTATTCATTCCGTGACGTGGGAAGCTTTCTCTTGGATAAATCGCTGAGAATTTTGGAAACACTTGAGAGCGTCTCGGATGGAGTTCAAGGATGGAGGCTCGGAAGCACTTTAGCCACACTGGGATCACTTACTCTATCCGGGGAGGGCAATGCCCGGCATCGGCCAACCCCAAGGCATACGGATGTCTGACAAGCCCTCAGAACAAAGGAGCGCAGCTTTGTCCACATAGATCAAATAATCTTTTACCGCAGCTCCAATAAACTACTCCTTGCCAGTTAAGACTTGCATTCTTCCCAATTGGCAGTACTTGTAGCCATTGGTAGAGCCCTGGTCAAGCGACGAGCAGGATTGCAACCTGCGCGCACCACCAGATCACGGAGCACGTCGCAGTGGCGGGCACCGTACAACCACTTGGGACCATAGAATGACAGCAGGCGGTTAGTTTCCAGCGTCAGCTCTGTGACCTGATGACCTGATGCCAGGCAGGGGTAAAGCGGTGGCAGCGGCGGCCCCTCCATCGCCAGGAGACTCGCATCGATAATGATAGATGGCAGCTATTCAGTCTGGACCACGGGCAACTTGTCGCCAAGCAAGCGCCACATCTGGGCGAGACAACCGATCGCCAGCCGCGCCTTCGCCGTCCGTACTCCGTCCCGTCCTACTTGTTGACCCAGTAGATCAGGATGAAAAGCAGGCACACAGCCACCACGCTGCCCAGTATGAGGTTGTCCTGAGTGTAAGCGGGCAGGGCTAGATGGTGAGGGATGTCATAGGCTCTACAGAAGACGGCAGCGGCCAAGAGCGCAGCCGCCCCCCCCCTTCCATCCCCAGCCGCCATGCATCCCTGCACATCACCACAACCCCCCCCCCCTCCTGCAATGAAAAACAACCCACCTTGTTCTTCTTGCGGCGAATGGCGTTGAGGAGGGTGTTGACCACGGGAAAGGCGGCGCCCACAGAGCCCAGCTTGCCTGACACGCCCTCGAACACCTCCCGCTGCTGGCCCAGCCCCGCGGCGACGCCGTGGGCAGTGCCCATCACGTCGTCCAGCGCGGCGTGGCTGCTGGCCACCATGCCGCGCTCGCGCAGGAGGAGGCCCATCGAGGAGCCGGGCGCGCCCAGGCCGGAGGCTGACGCGCTGCCGGAGGTGCCAGCGGCGCCCAGGAGGTCAGCGCGGTCGCGGGCCGACCCGGCCACGCTGGCATGCCGCCGGAACTCCTGCAGTGAGGAGGGGGGGGTGAGAAGAGGTTGAATTGCGGTGGGGCGGTGCCTGGGGTGAGCGCCGCCGGCGGGGCTGCGTTGATTTGAGGGGCGGTGCCTGGGCGGCGATGGTTTGAGGGGTGGCGGCTGGACGATAGAGGCATCGGCAAAGGGCCCCACCACCCACTCAGGAAAGGGCACACCGGCAGGTGGCCTTGGGTGCCCCTGGAGTGCCCAAGAATGGGAGTAGCGTCAGGCACTTCCCCCAACACAGACCATGATTACAACTCCAGGCAGCCACAGCATCGTGCATCCTGCGGGAGTCACGGTTGCTGAATGCAATAAACAGCCCACATATCGACGAGACACAATAGCCCCAGCCCCCGTAGGCCCGCCCACGCCAGTCAGACCTGCTGGTAGTCGTGGAGGATGTCGCGGTGCCGCGCCAGGGTGTGCGATCGCGCGTCTGGCCCGCCCCCGATGCTCCGCTGCATAGACTCGTTGGTGTCAGACAGCCGTGACAGCAAGCGCTCTATGTCGCTGGCCTTGGATTGCAGGAGCTGTGGAGGGGAGCAGGGGAGAGCGTGTGGGACAGAGTCGGGTCGCCGCCAGGTGCACAACGCATCCCCACTGCAGCCTGCCCTTGTCGCACCTGGTCCGCTGCGATCCCACTCTCCCCACGGGTGTATCCGTACTCGAAGCTGGTGCACAGCTTTCCATAGGCAGCCAGCTTTATGTCCAACTCCCCCTCGATCTTCCGGGCCTGTGCAGCGTATGGGCCGACGGAGTGAGCAGCCCCGATGTGCAGGGATGAGAGCTAAGAATTCGGAATGAACCAAGGCCTACCTCTCGTCGCAGATCCTCCCACTTGGCCCCGGTACTCTCGCTGGGTATCTTGGGCACGGCAGACTGCCTGCAGGGAGTGGCAACGAGGAGTCGCCATACTGCTCCATTATGACCTTTGCAAGCGTCGCGATGGCACTGGATCCCGCAAGACACATCCCTCACCCTGCATATGCCATGGCGATGGGACGACCGGGTGGGGGCTGCGCCTCTTCTTCTAGCATGTGGCAGGGGGCGGGCACGGGGCTGGGTCCAGCAAACACCTCCTCATCACGAGGATGCCAGGACAGGAGTGATCTGAAGGATGCCTTCAATCAGCTGTGATCAGCCCATGGCTCTTTGTGGCGTTGCCTCAATTTCACGCATGACACCCCACGACGATCCGGAGCACCACTCCCGGGGAACCCGAGGCGTCTTTCTTTTTTCTCAACACCCTCCAAGTTTTACACCCGTCTGTAAGAGCAAGTGACGATCCCCCGGACACAGGCGGATTCCAGTGCAAGCCAGCTTATGAAATTGATTTACACAGTGCAGAGCCTGGCCGGGGCCTCTACTTGCCTCGCAGCTCCGCCAACCGCTGTGCGAGGTCGTTGCCTTCCTTCTGCGCTGGTGTGGGAGCTGCCTGGGCTGCACCCGCCGCTGGGAGGCCGAGCTTGGTGTCCAGGCCATGCTCATCGGCCACTTGCTGCATGGGCGAGGAGGGGAAAAAGGGGAAGGTGGGTGTTGAGGGGTTGGCTGTGGGGGAAAGAATGCCAGATTTTCTGCACTCTCAGCAGTGGGAAGGTACCGTTCGTGGCGTCAAGGTGCATCAAAGACTCGGCACCGGTCTCAGCCCCCATAATCAAAGACAGGATGGCTACGGGGAAAAGACCAGGCTGATTTTGACCAACTTTTAATGCAGCCCACCTGCATGAGGAGGTTGACCTCGTCCTCGGGTGTGGAGAGCGCGGCCTGGTTGCCCATGGCCTGCTCCACAAACTCGCTCTGGACATCCAGGTTCTCAAACTGCTTCTCGAACTGGTCCATGGTTGCAGCAACCTTCTCAAGATTGTTAGCCTTGAGTGCCGAGTCAAGTGACTTCACGATGCCAACCATGCTCTTGTTGATGATCTGAGGGGTTTCGGGAACATAGGAGAGGCGGAAAGTGGGGTCATGGGTGGGAGCGTCACGCGTCATTGCACCCCTCGACAAAATACCTGTTGGGCAAGCCTTCTTGCGCATCCGCTTGAGGGACTGAGGCGACAGTGACTTCACACAGCAGCGCCCTGCGCTGCCCGAGTCTCCTCCTCCCACCCCCCTTCCCCTCGCACCTGCATCTTGGCCTGCGTGTCAAGCCTGGACACCACTGCATCCAGCCTGGAGGCCAGCCTGAGGTAGTTCAGGGCCTCCGCCCTCTTCCGGATGGCATTCTGGGCATAGATCTTGGCGCCCTCATGGTTGTCTGCGTGGGTCAGGACGTACTGGGCAGGTGGGTGGGTGGTGAAGCTGGGCAGCATGTGGCGCCCACCACCTCGACGTGTGAGTCGCAAGGGACATACCTTTTTCGATGGCCTTCTTGATCTTTATCTTTTCGGCCTTCTCCTCTGCCTCGCACTTCCTGGAGGCCCGCACCAGCTGCTTGCTCGTGAACTTGAGGTTGAATATCTGGTCCAGCAGCTTGTTATCCGCCGAGGAAAACATTATAGGTATCGGAACGGGATATCTGGAATGCGAGGAAGGGAAGTGGGTGTGATCGCCGTGGTAAAGCACACCCTCGCGACGCGCTTTCGGAGGGAGCAGGGGTTCTCCGGAGCGAGGGCGCGAAGCCAGACCAGAGCCCAGATTTGCGATCGAGGGTCTCGGAGCTCATATGGGCGGTGGGCTCCCTGCCCTCTGGGAAACATTCCTGACCCGCTGATTTCCACGCTCGTGCACGACTTCCGGGCGTCAGGCATGGGAGTCGGCAGATCGCCGGAGGTTGCTGGCACGACCACTGGCCCAGTGGTCCCAGGCCGGGGCACCTGTCTCCCTCGCAGAGCGCGCACACAGCGGGGCCCCTCCAGGGCACACCTCGTCTCATGCCGAGCCTATACAGGCACCAGAGGGGCGCCTGACGGCGACCCCGCTGCCACCGAGCGTGTCCTGCGTTACCCTGACGGTCAGGAGAGGCGGATCCGGTACCCCCTCCCTACGACGGAGACGTCCGAGGAGACGCTCGTGGAGGCTTGGGAGACGCTGAACGCATACAAGTCGTCCACAGGCTGGAGCCCTCGGGCCCAGCCTGCCCTCAGGGACGAGGTGAGGCCTGCTGGATGTGGGGCCTGCTGGATGTGGGGCTGACCTGCTGTGGTCCAGCGTGTATCGCTGCCATCTTTTGGCAGCATCGTGTACGAGGCCCGTGGCTGACTCACCCACCCACCTCCCACCCACACACCCCGTACCCTCGCCCCAGGCCAACTCCCAGGTGCCAAACTCGCCCCTGGCCCTGCTCAAGCGCATGACATCCCCCGAGTTCCTGGCCCGGGCCGTCGCCGAGGAGGAGAAGCTGGAGCGCAGCTACCGCGTGCACGAGGGCTGCCCCTGGCCGGCCCCCCGCCCCCTCTACGTGCTGGCGCTGAGCGAGGGCGGGCCAGCAAGCGGGGCGCCCGGCGCGCTGCACACGCTGCGCACCCGCCTGCCGCTGGCGGGCGTCCAGGACGAGCTCAACCAGGTGGGTGTCGTGCGGAGTTTCCTGCTCTCTTTTGGGTGGCTAGGGCTTGATCAAGCTAGAACGGGGGACAGCGTGCAAGGGCATGGGGCCTGCTTGGCGAGAAGAGTGGCTGGCAGGGGTCAGGCCTCCCGTTCCAGCAGTTCACGCATCTCCCCCCTGACCCCCACCCCGCCCAACATCGCAGGCCATGGGCTGGAGCAGCCCGCGCATCGCCTGCAGCCGGGTGGCAGACGGCGTCGTGGCTTTCCAGACCCTGGTGGCGGCCGAGGCCTACGCGGCGGAGCTGGAGGAGGCGCGGGGGCTGCCCCAAGCCTCAGTGGCGGTGGTGGAGACCGCGTCGCACGCCCTCTTCCGCAGCACGGCCGCCGCACAGGCGGTCGTCGTGGTGCTGGCCGACGAAGCGGACGGCAGCGGGCCGCCCGGACCCCTGCAGCTGGCGGGGGCGCTCCTGCGCCGGACCCGGGAGGAGCGCCTCAAGTAGTCCTGGCCAGTCCGCTCCTGTCCAAGGAGAGACAGCAGCAGCGCGCCCGCGGCCTTGCCGCTGTTTGCGCAAGAATGAACCCCCCTCGATGTGCACACGTCACTGTACCCCGCCCCGCCGTGCCCAGCGCCGGCTTCCCTGTATCTTCCTGCACGGCGTCTGCCTCCATTTTTCCCACCCCCTCACGATGTAAGTGTCCGCCCCAGCTCGTTCCCGGTTCAGGGCACTGCCTGAGCCTTTGCCTGGCAAGTGCTCGAGACATATTACATGGGGTGTCTGCAGTGTCAGACACTATATTAGCTGGCGCCGAGTGTACCGCCAGCCAGAGGGCCTGGCGCCGAGTGTACCGCCAGCCAGAGGGCCTGGCGCCGAGTGTACCGCCAGCCAGAGGGCCTGGCGCCGAGTGTACCGCCAGCCAGAGGGCCTGGCGCCGAGTGTACCGCCAGCTAGAGGGCCTGGCGGAGCCCATGGCACCGAGGAGGAGGAGGACCACTCACCCCTGCCCCCGCCCTGGGACAAGCGCGTGCAGCATCAGGGGGGGGGCGCGGCGTGGCGTCCGCCCTCCCCCACCACCACCACCTTGTCACGCGTGGTGGCATGCATGAGTCCCCTGACCGCCACCACCAGCCAGGTGGCAAATGGCGGCAGGTTGTGCAGCTCCATGACGTAGAGGCGGCCCGGGAAGTGCTGATTCAGGGTGGTGGCCACGTGGCGCACCACCGGCAGGATGCGGGTGGAGGACAGGACGCTGGCCCCGCCGGCATCCACGCGCACCACCAGGTCCTGGGGACGGCCCTCGCCGGGGACGTCCGCCAGGCGCCCCTCCATCACCGCGCCCTGCACCAGCGTCACGATGACGTCGCCGTAGGCGGCCGCCGCGGCGCGGCCGCGCGCCTCGTGCGAGGCCGCGCCCACGCGCAGGACCAGGACGGGGCGGGCGCCGGGGCCTTCGTCCCCGGGCGGGGCCCAGTGCGCGAGGTGGGCCGCCTGCACCAGCTGGGCGGGGGTGGCCCAGACGGCCGACGCCAGCCAGGCGTCGGTGCGCCGCGCGGCGGCCGCCGCCGCCGCCAGGCACTTGGCGGCGGCGGGCGAGCCGGGGGCGGCGGCCAGCCACCCCGCCGCCACCGCGTAGCGCATGAGCTCTGCGTCGGTGAACCTCCCGCCCGCCGCGGTGGGGGAGGGGGAGTTGGAGCGCAGCGCCCGCACCGCCTCAGGGTTGGAGGCCGCCAGGAGGTGCGGGGAGGGGTAGGTGCGGGTGGGGGGGTGCAGGTGCGCGGGGGCGCGGCCTGGAGGAGGGGGAAACGTGGGCGTGGGCGATTGGGTGCGCATGCATGCCTCACCCCACAGGTCCCCAGCACCTTCCGAAGCGATCATGGCGGTCGGAGAGGGGCCTACCTGACGGTTGAGGGGGAGGGGGGTGGGCGGGGCCCGAGGCCGGCACCTCCTCCAGACCGGGGATCTCCTCGGGTCCCCATGCTCCGCCCCAGAGCCTCCCTGTGGTGCTGTACTTGTAGTAGGATACACCCGCGGCGACCCCTGTCGCCAGCACCGCCGCTGCTGTGGCACGCCTCAGCATGGGGGCCACAGGTTGGCCTGGAGTGCGGGTGGTGCGGTTTACGCAGAGTACTTTACCCCATCATTGAGCCATTGTTCGATGCGACGAACAATCGGCCGGACCGCTTGACGATTGGCGCGTCACAAGCACGGCCTCGCTCTCAGAATTCCGACCGAGTCGGAGTCGTCTCCCACTCTGCTGAAAGTCTTGATCCTCGTGAGGACGAGTCAAGCATACCATTCAAAGCCTCGGCACCTTCCTTCACTGCACTCATGCACCTCCTTGGTATGCTCCGCTCAGTTAATGGATTTGACTTCAAGAACTGTCAGTGTTGGAGTCATTGTCATGGTCATGGTGTCTGGCACGCCAACGGCACCCGCATTCAGTCCGAGGAAGCATCCTGTGAGGGAGTGGGCGTGTGGTGGGAGTGGGCGTGTGGTGGGAGGGTCTGATTACAACGGACATTTGTTGGCATGCTGTGCAATCACAATCGCCTCAAATATGCCCGCACCAGCGAACCCCTTCAGCACCTGATGCTTCTTCTTCTTCTTCTTCTTCTTGGACTCGCCATCGTCATCCTGCCCCTTCTTCTTCTTTTTCTTCTCGGACGGCGGGGGGCTGACCACTGTGGGTGCCACAGGCTTGGGAGCAGGGGGTGCTGCGGCTGCCTCCTCCTCACCAGAGGATGATCCAGGCTCCGCAGAACCCTTGGCCTTGAAGTCTTCCGTCACCTTTGCCTTTTGTGCATCGCTCAGCTTGCTCCATTCAGCCACTTGAAATGGAGGGGGGGGGAGATGGATTGAGACAGGTTCCCCTTGCATCCTTGACAATTTGGTGAGAAAATTGGATATGAGCATGAAAGCGACGCCCACCCGCCCCATCCTTGGCTCGAATCACACACCTGCCAATGCAAAGAGCTCCTTGCCATTGGCCAGACCCTTGAGCTTCAGATCCTCCATTGCGTTCTTAACAAAGTCGTTGTACGCTGGCGGGATGGATGCGAACAGAGACAGCTCAGTCAACAGCAGAAGTCCAAACTATCAAGACTCGGGGAATGGCAGGCTAAACCCCTTCCTTCTCCCAACCCTCACCCGTGGGTTTCCGCCTGGGCCTGTCCTTATCCTTCTTTCCGCGCCTCTTCTTCTTCCCATCATCGCCGGAGTCCTTCCCATTTCCGGCTGCGCCAAGCATGGGGGAGTGCTATTGCTTAGCACCCCTTGGCACTTGCGAGGCGTGGGCCCAGACCTCGATCGTGCGTGCACACCTTTGAAGATGGACTGGGGCAGCTCCTTGGTGATATTGAAGGTCTCTGCTGCATGGTGCAGGTGCTGGAAGAAGAGGTGCAGCTCCTGGGCAAAGAAAAGTGCAAACCCGGCGTCCGCCTTGGCCGTTGCCAGTTCGGTACCCATCTCTCCGCCCTGCTCTCCCCTCCGTGAAGCCACAGCTGAGGCACCAGGACTTGATTTGCATGTATATGTCAACGTCTGTCAACTTTGCTGTGTGTCGCAGCACTTCATGCCTGCCACCATCGAACAGCACCCCCGATGCGGAGAGCGGGAAATCTCGGGTAATCAACTCCATGGCCGGCCGGCCCTGGCTGGGACCTCCGTCCCAGGGCACCCAGTCTGTGCTTGACGCTACATCATGAGGCAGGAACGAAGATGTGGGTAAATGAGGTGAAAGGGATCCATGCTCGCTAAAAGTGTGCCGTGGCAATGATACATGTGTGAGATTTTGACAGTCAGTCCTCGCGAGCGGGTTTTTCATCCGCTCAGGCAGCGGCGGCAGCACTCGCGCCACGTCCCCGCCGCGCGGCGCACCAGGTGTACGTCGCGCGTCCCGCCCCGCTCGGGTCTACTGGCCTGAGGTCAGGGGGAAGGCACGCCGGTCGTGGGCGCGGAGCTTGGGACCCCAGGGGTTCGATGGCCGCTGTGCGGGGCACCCTGCTCGCCCAGCCGCCGGGCAGCCTGCGCCCGCTCGCGGCGGCCCTTTCCGATTCTGGGCAAGGGCGCCTGATGCCGCCCTCGCGGTGAGCAGGGGTCGCCGCTCAGAAGGTGCCCTGGATGTACTCCTGCAGCCGGCCGACCTCCTCGCGGTGTTCCTTCAGCATAACATGCACCACGTCACGCATGGAGGCCATGCCCAGCAGCCGCCCCTCGTCCACCACAGGGACGTGGCGGAAGTTCTTGTTGATCATCAGCTCCATTACGTCCAGCACGCTGCGCGAAAAAGGCGGAGGGAAGAGGGGGAGGGGTGAGGTGGGAAGGGGCAGGAAAGCAGAGTGGGGAGCGGGAATTTCAGACGTGATCCCCTGCTGCAGCACGTTGCCGCACGCGACAGGGTTAGACGGCCAGGCCCCAGGCGCCATGAAGCCTCCCTTGCCCGACGCACAGCCGCTGTTCCCCACTTCCCGCCCACACCTGTGCTTGGGCGTGACGGTGATGGGGTTGGGCGTCATCACCTCCGAGATCTTGGTGTCGCGGGAGCTTCGTCCCTGGACTGCAATCTTGGTCATGTAATCTGGCGAGCGGCGGGGAAGTGGGTGAGGACGGCGTGACGCGGTGGCAAAGGGCAACCCTCGTGATAGTCGCGGCTGATGCCCCGCGCAGGGTGACAGAGGCACGAAATGCACGCCAGGTGGCACCAAGCACAGAGTCTGATGCTGCCACCCGACCCCAGATCGGTCCGGTTGCCGGTGTGCACATGGAAGCCTCCTGATCTCCGGGAACTTGTACCAACAGGCTACCACCCCGAGTGCAAACAGCAGCCACTCCCCGGCAGGCTGGCCCACCACCCCTCTGGCGCGCCTCACCACGCTCGGTGAAGATGCCCACGACGGCCTCCCTTGACGCGTGCAGGATCTTGTCCGTCCCCTTGGGCTCCTCGATCTTGGAGGGGTCAAAGACCAGCAGGCTTCCCACGTTGGCCTTGGTCATCTGGAGCAGGGGCAGGGCGAGTAGGGGTGGGACAGTGGGGAAGTGCTCCTAGCAGGGACTGAGGCGCTGGTGCTTAGCCTAGATTGCGGCAGGCACCATTTCATAGGCGGATCAACGCGAGCATCGCACCTTCCGCACAGCGTCAATGACGTGGTCGTCCCTGGACACCCAGAGCCAGGCGCCAGCTTCCGGGCCCTGTACAAAGAGTTTCGGAGCTAGGTCTCGGGGTGCAAGGTCGGAAGGCTTTGCGAGCAGCACCACCAGCCAGAACATGGAGAAACACACACCTACCTTCTCCTGAAGCATATCGGACATCTTGGTGGCGCCCCACCCCACCGTCTCGGGCTCAGGTAGGTCTGACAGGCTCTCGGAGGTCTCGGCAGTGAAGGCTCGATGGCTAACCCTTGCGCACTGCGGGACGGTGCGGGGCGGTAAGATGTGAAACGATCCTGATGGCGCTAGTAAGGTGGAGATCGGCCCCCAACTTACCAGGGATGAGCTCGCGGTGGTCGACCTCGCCGCAAGGAGGGGGTTAACAGCCCGGGTTAGGCTGGCGATACTGTGGCGGAGAGACATGGTGCAGGGATGATCGGAACGTGAGAGTGTCCAATCACGCGATCTTCGAAGTCAGCTGGCCGTGCCCGATTGCTTTTGTGGTGCGAGGATGGGGGGTGTCGGACCACCCTTTCCACCGTGGGCGTTCCCCCCCCATCTCACCGTCCCAGGCTTGGAACTGCGGCTCGCGAGATTCTGGATCGCTGCAACATGCTACACTGCGGATGCACATGAGAAGCATGATCAGGCTCATCCCAGGATTCGCCACCAGGCTCTTCGTCCCTCAGGCTCAGCCCTTGTGACCCCAGCCACAGATGGTTTGGAGTGCTCTCCCTCTGTGGGCGGCGCCACCGGTACCTTTTGGAGACTCGCCTCCAGGGATGCAATCACCGCCGCAGTGACATCCATGGAGTCGCTGGCTGGGTGAGGCGGCGCCTGCGGGGTCATGTCTGTGGTGGGGATGCCGACATGAGCAGCTTCAGTGGGGGCCATGAAGAGGTAACCTACTGCTGAAAGTGCAACAACTGATCCCTTTGACTCTGCACACGCTCCTGACGACATGAGCGCAACAATGCACTGCTCCCTAGTCCTCCGCCCCTCCAGATGCTCCCGTTCACTCACCTCTGCCCTCGCAGATGTCCTGCAGCTGCCGCCAGTGTTCCTGACGCTGTCGTTTGAGGTCGTCGGGAAGCCACGCGTCCGTAGCTCGATCCACCCACCCAACACAGAATCCCAGGAGGGACCCCAGGCTGCCCGCCAGCACGGTGCTTATCAAGCGGGTAGCTCCCAGTCCTGACAGGAGGCAGACAGGGTGAGTCATTCAAGTAGGGGGTAGGTCAAAAGGAAGCCTACAGCAAGATGCAGCGCCAACATGCTCATCCAGCCCCCTGTGGTGCTGGGGGCTGTCACCTGAGGGCAGTCCGACGTTGGTGGCCAGGCCATAGAGGGCCCCGGCACCCGCCCCTGCCCATGCTGTCTGTCGGGGGCGCCTCTCGCCGTCGTACACTCGCAGCAGGAGCTCGGTGGAGAAGAAAGCAGCGCTCAGAGCCCCCACCCGCAAACCCACGCTGCGCATTGGACATGGGGCGATGTGAATCATGGTGCAGGTGGGCGGCAGACAAGAGCCCGGGCCAGCAGGAGGGCGATGCTGGACTGCCGGAGGGGGGACAGTTCCCTTGTTGGAGGGTGCCTCTTGCGCCCGCATGTCCTACTGGCTCAGCAATGTACATTGGCGACTGCAACAGGCCCCACAAGTCACTACGACTGATACTGATCACAAGCAAGCAGGTTCCAGGAATGTCGGCTGCGCTACCTGGTGGCGCGGTTGGCCAGACGGATGAGGCGCTGGGTCTTGGCTTCGGCCAGGTATCGCGCAGCGTGGGCGGGAGAGGGGGCGTCGGTGGGGGCCACCAGGGCACCTGTCAGAGGGTTGGAGTAGGCACGGCAATAGGCACACCGTACACGTACATGAGCGATTGCTGGAACGTACACGTTGTTGATGCACGGCCATGGCAATGCACCCTCTTCCTGAGGAACAGACCATCCCACCTCACCTGCCGCCCTCTCCTGCTTCCATTGCATATATGTACCCAGCGAGATGCCCACCAACGCCATCTGCGAGGTCGATCTCGCCCATTCTCGGAGCTCCTCGGGGACCGGGGCGAGCTGGGAACAGCGGGGAAAGGTGGGAACTTATACATACTAGAGTAGTGGACAGAACAACATCATGTCGGCGACAACCTCGCCGTTGGAACACAGCAAAAACCAACTCCACCATTCGAATGTATTCTCACAGGTTTATCTGTATTGTGTCGCGCTGTGAGGTAGCCAAATAGATTGCGCAGACGCTCCTCCCCCGAGCCCTGGCCACCCTCCTCCTTCCGCTCGGTCATCGAATGTACAGGGTGCGGCCAGATGGAAGTTAAGATCTCGGTTCGCCTTTAAATGGGGAGAATTATCCTTCTATTGCATACCCAGTGAAGGATCCATGCCATGCTGTGCCATGCATGAGTCCCGCAAGAGGTTCGTGTGCTGCGTGCTGTGCCCGGAAGCCGACGGGAAAATTTCGAAGAGAGGGCGACAGCCCTGCATAGCACGGCGTGATGGACCGCGAGACGCACCCAAATCACGTCGAGTATCGTTTCAGTCTCTGAGATGCTGTTCCTCGCTGTGCTGGGAGGCGCTGCCGTGCTCGAGGTGCACCGGGCTCTGCAACCCGGGGCCAAGGACGCGAAACGGCTCAGGCAGTCCGAAGCCGCCCTCCTGAAACAACTCAAGGCAGGTTGATGGCATGATTTAGGTGCCTGGCGTCTCCTGTTGTGTCGCCTTCCCTGCGAGTGACCCGCCACGTACCTTCCGAGGGTGGTTTAGGCCTGGCACGGGCCCCTCCATGCCCTCCATGCCCCGCACCCTGCCCTCTGCAGGATGCACAGTCGGAGCTGTCTGCCATTCGGCAGCAGAAACAAGCAGTGGATGCCGAGCTGAGCGGACTGGAGGCCAGGGCCACCCAGCTGCAGGCCAGCTGCGAGACGCTGCTGCACGACAAGTCCGGACTGCAAGAAGAGAACCGGGAGCTCCTGGAGCGGGCCGACCGCCTGCTGGAGCGTCAGAGCCTGCTGGAGGCGGCCGCTGAGTCCCTGAAGCTGGAGAACGGCACGCTGCTCCAGCAATTTGACAGGCTGAAGCTCACCTATGAGGAGGAGACCGCCGGCTTCCAGGCGGAGCTGGCGGCGCTGAAGACCCGCGTGGTCTCCATGTTTGCCCAGTTCACGGCGGGGGACATCAGCGCCGAGCAGCTGATCGAGTACCTGTCGGCCAGCGGGGTGGGGCTGAGGGTGCACGGGGACGACACCGCGGCATCCGACAGCAGCCTCACAGCCCGCCTCGACTCTGCACGCAGCCGGGAGGAGCGCGTGGAGTGAGTGAGGCTCGGTCATTTTTTCTCTGCGGGGAGGGGGGGGGGTAGGTAGTGCACGGGCAGATCCATGGCCAGGCTGAGGGGTTGGGGGAGGCAGCGCCTGCGTTCGTGTCGCCGAGGGCCATCCAGTGGCGGCTGTCGAGCACCCCTCTGATTGTTCAGAGGGAATGCGTCATGTTCTACCACGCAGTCTTTCTGCTGCATGCCGCTTTCCTGCGCATGATACAGACCCCCAAACTCCCTCTTCACAGATCGCTCAAGCATGTGGAACTGGCGGTGGGCGAGGGCTGGGCTCACCAGGTCCGGCTGATCAGCGGCGACACCACCCGCGCCCTCCGTCTCATGGCATCTGCTGGGCATGCCGAGGACAGGTGGGCAAGGTGGCGGGAGGTTTTGGAGGTGGGGGGCGGGGGGAATCAGGAGCCTGCAGTGTTCCCAGGTGGCTCATCCTGCCTGGGGGGCGGAGCATGCTGCAGCAGGAGACGATGCGATTCATGCACCATGCCCCGCCCTGATCATGCGGCGCCTGTGCATGGCGGGTGCCCGGCTCGGCTGAGCAGCAGCCTGACACCATGCCCACCACCTCGCTCCAGCCAAAGGTCTGCCATTCCACGAGCACCTACGCGGAAGCTGGTCACCCCACCCAAGGCACGGGACGCCGAGTCGCGCTCCCAGACCACCTCCCCGGTGAAGCTGCCCCTTGCGCTGGGAACTGCAGGTGCCACCTCGGCAGCAAGCCCGGCGCGCAGGGTCCCGTCCGTCCCCTCCTCGGCTGACCAGGTATCCAGCAGGGCATCCCAGCTTCGCTGTCTGGGAGAGGAGGCAGGGCGGGGCATGCCTGATGAGGGGCATTGCCGACAGGTCCCGCTGGCATGCGCCGCTGGGCGCGCGCGCCATACGTGCCACGCACTGTCAGAGGCGCCCATCAGCTCTGAGCTCTGATCAGCATGTGTGCCTCCTCTCATCACCAGCACCCACAGGCTGGCGACGAGAACGTGGCGGCAAACGTCCGGCCAGACCCTGCCGCCCCGGTCCCCGCCAAGAAGAGGGGCCTGGTGTTCATGCCAAAGAGGCGCACCACCAAACCCGCGCGGGCCTCGGTGGACGGGCCATGCTTCCCTTCTGGAAAGCACGGCGTGCCCCTGCTGGCGCTGGACAGGGTGGGCATCGAGGAGGACATTGACGTTGGTCTGTCCGCTGGGCAGGGGCGCAGCATCGTGGGCCTATAGGAAGAAATCCAGAATGCGTCGCCTTGGTCACCCTTGCACCGAGTATCCGCGCGCCATGCTGCTCACATACAGACTTCGATTTCCACTGGCTTGACAACAAGCACATCAGCACCCGCTGCTGATGGTGTACAGTGGTGTGTGCAGGCCACTGCACACGCGTGGATCCTCATCCTTGCAGGTGCTCATATTCTGTAATGATCTGAGTGTGACCAGGTTGCCATGAGTGCACAGGGCCAGGCTGGCAACAGAGCACCCACCCTTTAAAGTACGTCATGAGACGAGAACCCGCTGAGTCGGGCATGATTTTCTAAAGCTGCGAATTCTCCAGAGTGCTGTTGTCACAGCTGGCCTACATAACCGTCGGTCCGACCTAGCTGCCGCCTAGGTGCAGTTACTTCGCCCCCAGCCTCCTCACTTGGAGGAGCCAGAAAGTCGGAGCGCTGTACTGGTTGCGCGCATACAGTATCAAGCTTGTGGATTGATCGGAGGAATACTTCATTTGCTCCCGGTAGAAGTAAAGAGTGTGCCGGGGCAAACCGACCGGACGTGCTGCGGGACTCCAAGGGCACGTTGAGAGCGCGAAATCCTCGACCCCGCCCTCCTCAGCGCACCAAGGTCGTCTCATAATCCTGTAATGGCTCCGAAATACCTGTGGGCGTGTGTCATGGCAAGCTGCTGGATAATTGCGACTTCCCAAGGGGAGGTTGATGCTGTCGTGCCAGAGGGAGCTGGCCCGTCCAGCGACTGCGTGACCCAGATACAGACCGTGAGCGACCTGTGCAACGCGGAGAGGGACACTGTGTCCCTCATCTACCCAAGGAATGCGACGGCCCTACCTGACCAGCAGCAGATCCTGGACTCCCTGTCCTCCCTCCTGGCAGCCGCACAGCCCAGCCCAGGGTATGTTGATGCTTGGGTCTGGGGGGAGGGGAAGGGGACGAGGCAGGAGTGCAGTGGCAGATTTCACGATACCGAGGCTGATGCTCATGCACTTTCTGTTGCCCAAACAGTTCCTGCCATCCCTCACAGGTGTTGCTCTGGCCTGGGGCCTGTGTTGGTCGGGAAGTGCCTGTGCACCCAGTACGTGGGACGTATGCTGGGAGAATGGCAGCCAGGAACCGCAGCTAGATAGCTGACGCTTTACGTTTGCAGTGATGAGCCATGGGAGAGCGTGCCAAACACCTCGAGCATTCTCGTCACACCTGCAGGGAGATCCAGAATGCAGTGGACTTTGCAGGGTTCTCGAGTGCCTATGTGTCGGGTGCGCGCGACCATGGGGTCGCACTGTCTTCCGGGGGATGGTTCGTCGCCACTGCCAGTGATGATGTCGTGTGCCTCTGCCAAGGCACGTGCAGCTTGGCTGTGGTGCAAAGCGCACCAAGTCTCGTCATCCGCCTCTCCTTGCCACCCCCTCCCCATCGCAGGCGTAGCCCAGATCCTCGGCCTGGCCTGCCGCCTCACACCTGCTTCCTGCTGAGCCCATCAGATGCTGTTGCCTGCCCAAGCGATGGCACGCGCTCGTCCTGAGCCTGTGCAGCCCCCCCCCAACCCAACTGCCCATTTTCCAAGCCCCCACACCCTCACCACCCCGCCGCGGCTGGATGCTTCACGGCACCCAACCCCCCTTTCCGTCACCACATCCCCGTCATCCCGCCTGCGCTGTCACCAACCACCACCGCCCCCGAGTTTGCTGTGCTTTCAACATGCCGAGCAGCGTGGGGTATGTGAGCTGCAGTGACTGGCGGGCAGGGCACGGCGCAAGGGCTCAGACGCTGTGCACGGAGTTGCCCGTGGCGCCCACGTCGCCCTCCAGCGGCCGGCTGAAGCCGGCAGCGCCCGCGGAGCGAAGGTCTCGCGCTCCGGACTGGCTGAGCCAAGCGCGCGGCGGCGGCCGCGGCGGCGCGCCCGGCGGGCCGACGTCGCCGCCGCTGGCGGCGCGCCGCAGCTGACCCTCGGGCCCGACAGACCCCGGCGCGCTGGTCCCCGCCTCGGGTGGGTCACCGCCGCCCGCCACCAGCCGCTCCACGATCTGCAGCGCGGAGGGGCGGCGCGTGGGTCGGGTCTCCAAGCACTCCAGGATCAGGGTGCGGACGCTCTCGGGGCACTCGCTCGGGACCCTGGCGAAGAGGAAAGGAGGGAGGGGGGGCGGGGGGGGTTGGAGCGTGGGCGGGGGGGCTGGGTGTGGGCAGGCAGCGGACCAGACAGGAATTGTCCCCCCCCCGGGCGCCACAGCATCCACGCCCCAGGACTACAAGCGGCCCCGAGCAGCCGCTGCGCAGCCACCCCAACGCACACGACATCTCGCAGCTGGCCGCGTACAGGCTTCTCCCCAGTGCACATCTCCCACAGAACAATGCCTGCGAGCGGGTGGAGAAGTGGCGTGGGCTTAGGTTGCGCTTGCAAGCACCGAGTCAGACCGTAGATGAATGGAACCCAGGCTGTGCCCCGCATTCCCGCCGCCGCACCATAAGAATAAATGTCAGCCTTCTCCGAGCAGCGCTCCCCCCACAACATCTCGGGGGCAGCCCTGTTGGTGAGTTAGGAAGGAGAGGAGCAGGGTTGGAAGCGGTACACCACAACAAACAGGCAAAGCCAGACCAGGTGAGTCTCGCGCCCCTCCTTCCGCCCCCACTCTCTCATGCTCAACCCCTCTCTCGCAGGCTCAACCCCTCTCTCTCATGCTCACCAGGCTAAGGTACCAACAGCGCCAGTGATGTAGTCTCTATTCAAAATCTTGGCCATCCCAACATCGCTGATCTTTGCCGTGCCATCCCTGTCGTGGGGAGAAGAGAGGTCGTTAGGTGGGGCGGGTGATGCGCCGGAACTGTGAGTTGAATGCCAAACACTCGGTGCTCCAACGCACCCCCCCCCCCTCCCCCCAAGACCCGAACACTCACCTGGCCAGTAGAATGTTGGGAGACTTCAAGTCAAAATGCACAATTCTCCGACTGTGTAAAAACACAAGCGCCTTTGCAACGTCCAGGGCGATCTGCACCCAGCGAAGATTGGGCTGGGTAAGAAATGGGCACCGGCACAGGGCAGGGGTGATGACCCCCTCCAGGATGTGCCTGGTATGCATGCATGGTTAAGATTGGCAGTGTGCAACTGAAACTGCATGGGACACCTGGAAAGGTCCTTCTCTCTTGCGCATCATTGCTGAGCTGGTGACCCCACACATGCAACCGAGGCAGGTGTGCCAAACATGGGGAGTCGTTGGTTGGCAGAGTAGGGCCTGTGTGAGATCACACCGCCTCGCCCTCCCAGGGCCCCCCCCACGACCACTCCACCCACCTTTCGACCCCTCCGGAACCATGTCACGCGGCCCGCTGCAATGTTGTTGCACAGGTTGCCACCCTCGCAGTACTCTGTCACCAGCATTGTATTGTCCGGCCCTAACGAGGCGCCCTGCACAAAGGAGCAGACAACAGCCAGGGGGTCGAGGTACATGTTTGGTTGACTTGATCACGGTTCTGGCCACTTGGTCAAGCTCAATGGTCTTGCAGCCAGGGGTACAAACTCCCTCAGCTCGGTGCGAGGTTCATGCAGGCGGCAGCGAGCCCATGACTGGAGGTACTGTGCTGTCACCACATGCCCCTCCACTTCACCCTCCGTCCGCCAACTCACCACAAACTGGACGATGTTGAGGTCACGGCAAGCCTTAAGGATGGAGATTTCCTTGCGGAAATCCTCCAGGGCTGCCTGACGGACATCCCCGGACACAGCCTGACAGCAGCCAAAGAGGGGGTTGAGGGATAAGATTGGTGGCAGTATAGGTTTGGAGAGCATCCGTGAGGGATGGCTGATGATGTAGCCAAGATACTTTCAGGAAAAAAATCGGGAAAGGGACAGATGCGCCGCTTGTAGGCGCTTGTGCACCACGACATTCTGCTGCCGACATCCACAGCTGTCACTCAGGCATAGAGCTGGAGAAAGCCACTCGCGCCTTACCCAGAACCGCACAGACCGACCCCATGTCTGGCAAGAGACCCTGAGCACCCAGGATTGAACGCAGATGCCCTCCGAAGCTCACCGAGAGCATCTTCACCGCCACAGGCTGCACCCCGTTGCGCAGGGCCTTGTAGACGGTGCCAAACCCGCCGCTGCCCAGCTGCCAGGGCGAGCCGTCGGGCCGCTTCACGATCTCCACCTCTGCGGGAGGGGGGTTCATGTGTGGGGAAGTGTTTGCCTAGGAGATAGTTTATCATTGCCAGCCAACCAAGTGGCAGTAACATGGGGTGAATGACCACATGTGGCACGCCGCCACCAAGTGCATGTGCCACATACAAGCGCTGTCGCGGTGGGGGAGGGCATTAGCGCCGTCCCTCCCAAACCCCCTTGTGCTCAGGACCTGCTCCCATGCATGCATCTCCCCAGATTTCCCCCCCACCCCCACCCCCCCTCCACCCACCCCACCAACCCACCGTTGGGGAAGATCTCCCAGTCGCTGAAGAGCATGCCGGAGTCCAGGGCCTTGGAGCTCTCGGAGCCGGAAATGTGGGTGGGCCAGTCCGGGTTCTTGCTGCCCATGGTGGACATGAGGGTGGGGAGCGGGGAGCCCACCGCCTCGCCGCTCATGGACTGCGACCCCGCGCCGAAGCTGGCCCCGGCCAGCGTCCCCTCCCCCACTGTGCCCTGGGAGGGCGCCTGCGACCGCGTGCCCTGCGTGTGCCCGCCCTCCGACCCCGAGGAGTGCGGCGTGCGCAGGGCACCTCCCCGGGACCCGCCGGGGAAGCTGCCGGCGCTGCTCCCCGTGTTGCGCACCATGTGCTGCATGCCCCCGGGGGGCATGCCGGAGAGGAAGGGGGAGGTGTACGCACGCTGCCCCTCCCCCGTGTCGAACGGGTGCCCGCCGGTGCCCAGGGCCAGGTCCATGCGCTGCGCCTCGGCCGCCACCTGCGCGGCCTTGGCGTCAGCCTCCACGGCGGCGGCACGGCGCCGCCGCCGGCGCAGCACCAGGCACAGCGCGGCGGCGGCACCCAGGGCCAGCACGGCCACGATGGGTGCCACCACGGCGGCCACTGGGAAGCTGCTGCCGGTCCCCGAATCGGGGGACGCGGGCGGCGGCGGGTTGGCCTCCAGGCCCGCGCAGTAGGAGCCGGTGAAGGCCGAGTCGCTGCGATGGAGTGTGAGGAGACCGGGGTGGGGGGGGGGAGGTCGCTGAGGGCTGATGAGGTGGGCCCAAGTCATACCACAGCACTGCTAGCCTGTTCAGTCCCCACCCCCACCCCCCCCCTTGTCACAACATCCCCGCCGGCCCCCAGACCTGCGCGTGCAGTTGGCGCCGGCCTCGGAGCAGACCACGAAGGCGGAGCCGCCCGGCAGCGGGCCGCACAGCTCCTCATTTCCGGGGCGCACGACCAGGCGCTGCAGCGACGAGAGCTGCGCCCAGGAGGAGGGCACGAAGCCGGACAGCGCGTTGCCTTGCACTGCCAGCGAGGTCAGCGAGTTCAGGCCCGTGCCGGTGCCCCACTCCGAGGGCAGAGTGCCGCTCAGGCCCACATTGCTCAGCGACCTTAGGGAGGAGCGGGGAGGGGGGTTGTGAGTGGGTGGGCAGGGCGGACGGGGCGAGGACCTGGGGGCAGGAGCCGACGCAGGAGGAACTTCTGAAGTGGTGGCATGCGGCCCCAGCACGAGCGTCCCTGGCAAGCAGTATGTGAGGGAGAAAGAGTCCCTCTGTGCCGCCCGGGCCCCCCCACCCCCTTCCGCGGCACAATCCCCCTCCTTCCCCAACGTACAGCGTGCGCAGCGTGGGCAGCGCCTCGTCCAGGCCCCAGCTGATGGGCAGCGACCCTGCACGCAGCATCGGGACGGGGCATGGGTTGGGACTTATGCCGCACTTGTGAGGGCCCAGCTGCATAAGACAGCTCAGCATCGAAACCTCGCAACAGGCTCTCGCCCGCTGCATCCTCCCTCTGCTAACCATGATCTCTTTCAGCACAAACATGAGACGACACAGCACCAAGACGTACGCCGACCGCGCGCCATGCCCCAGAGAGCACAGGATCCTTCTTCTACTCAGCCCAGCAACGCCATGCACCTGCCGTGGCCTCACCTCCCAGGTCATTGTCGTCCAGCATGAGGATCTGGAGGCTGGCAAAGGTACCATTGGAGCCCCAGGCGGAGGGCAGGCCCCCTTCCAGGTCATTGTCCTGCAGGTACAGTTCCTGCAGCCCCGCAAACTGCCAGCTCGACGGCACCGTCCCCGTCAGCCGGTTGTTCTGGAGACTCAGGATCTGGACCTGCGACATGTCACCCAGGGAAATGGGAAGCGTACCCTCCAACCGATTGTCAAATAGGCGCCTGT